TTTCAGCGCTTGTGATGCTTTTCTCTAACATGATATACACCAAACAGCGTGGAACAGAAACCTTTTCTTATGTAGTTACTGTTCCAAATCAAACAGGCTCCGAAAAACGTCGATGTTATGGAGGCTTCGTATGTTTCAAATCCATTTCCCAATCGTTGTCTTGATGGATGCTATTTGGGGAAAGCCTTGACACAGTATAGATCGCTGTGATCTACAGTACATAAGGCATCTTGTAGTGGGGATTACAACAGCAACGATGGATACTGCTACCTACTGGGGCTTCAAGGGGAGCGAAGCATTGACGCCCTTGTAGAGCACAAGGTTTACGTTTAAAAAGGCCGACGCCAGCGCATCACTTTCGGTCTGTGGATTATTTGTGGAGATGGAGTTAAGAAAGCCAACAAAAGCAGGTGGTGCGACCCCACCACAGCTCATCTGAAGCCCGGCAACAAATGGGACGCAGCAACCGGAGCATGAAAGGGCAAAGTCTCTTGGCTTCAGTCTCTATCATCATCTATTTTCCAGCAGCAAAGTGCTTGAAAGCTCTGAGTTGTCATGTTTTTGTGATGAGAAATATGATAAAAATAAGTATCAAACAAACCATTGATTCCACATCTAAATATGAGAGAAGCCAATCTCTGCTCTGATGTTCATGGTATGGATAAAAACACAAACACCTGCAAGTCCTTTTCCCCCAACCAATCTGACGCAAGCGTCACACTGTGACCGAGCGGCTGATGCGCTTATTATATATAATTATAACATCCTTTCTCCCAAAACACCACACCTGATGACTACCCACCCTCACCCCTCTCCCCCTTTCCTAACAAGCATCCTCGGTGACAGAGGGAAAACACTTGTACCATCGGTGCCTTTGAGTGTGGAGCTGTTGATGACCAGCAATATGCTCTCTGGGGCTCAGACAGCCGCTCGCCTGCACGTTCCTCAGGAGAAAACCAGCTGACACCGTTGTGGATTAGGATTATGTTGAGGAATCAAAAGGTGACTTTCTTGATTGAAAATCGAATTGGCAAATATTGTCCGAATAAAGTCCTGAAGAGCCAGAGGGGGGGGGGTCATCGAAGAAGACAAGTCTGTGGGAACATTTACGGCCATTTGCACTAATGGTTTGTTCTGGAGCAGGACGTTGGGTATTCGGTGTAAATGCCTCAGGCTGCTCTAAATGAGCAGGAATTGGAGATGGATGTTGGTTAGTGGAAGCTTGCACACATTCACAGAGGAAGAATGTCCCAGACATTCTGTTAGCAGACACGGCAGGAATAGAATCACATCTGCCAGACAGATAAATGGCTTTTTGTCACCAAATTCACACACCCGCTACCTGTAAAAAAATCGTTTTTCAAGTATGTTTTGTTCATTTATCGTGTCCCGGAGATCTCACTTTAGGAAGAAAGCTGTTCTTTGTTACTGTTAGCAAACATTTGCCTTGCATTTTGAGTACAAACGTCTCTTGAAAGAGCCTTTTCCAGTCGTAATCCAATTAGTCATCCCTCAAAAAATGTTGTACCATTCACAACTTTCCCCTATGATCTACTTCTGTGAAACTCTGTCCGTGGTCTTGTATACTTTTCATCAAAGCTATGACATCATCTCCTGGATGAAGACGCTGCACACTCATTCAGACCAAGGACACACACATTCTCACACACAGACGGATCACACGAGGATGAAGCGAAGGGCAAAAAAAAAAACACTCAAAGTTTACTGAGAGCTTTGAGTCACTGAACAGACGCCCAGGGGAATAATGACGCTGTATGGAAATAAAAAAGGCGTGTAAGTACTGGGAGGTCTGACCAGATAAAAGGACACAGCTGAGGAACAAAACAGGTGAGAAACTAAACAATGGCAGGAGGTAAAGCAACCAGGAGGCACGGGAGAGCAAATAAAGCAAAACACACAGACGAGCTGAACAACTTCCCCGATCGGATTTAATGTGCTGCAATGTTGAGAGAGTTCTACACACATTCTACTGCAGCAGCAGCGTTACTAATTAAATTAGCGGCAAACCATTGGATGAGTTATTTTATCAAAAGCAATTTAGATTTGACCCAGATAACAGGTACGGTTTTCCATGTGAATTAAGTAAATGACGTTCTACATTTGTTGGTTTGGTCTTTATTTTGCACCGTTCATCAGTTCTCAGTATTTTTGACGGCAGGAATCTTCTGTCGACCTTCTGGCCGATGAAGCTGTACTAAACTGTAGTGAGACACAATTTAAAATCGGCACGCTATGCAAACATGCCGAACTTCAACGGTACCGCAAATTCAACGTGATCTCCAAAACCTGTTCGTAAAAATGTACACGAAATATTTGACATAGAAATTCGTAACAACACGTAGGAACTGGTGGTGGTTAACCACGCCCCCTGAGTGAACAACATGGCGGACCATGTCGGATTCTTGAGTGAACGTCTCTCCGCCATGTTGGGTCTTTTGAGGGGGTTAGGGTTAGTATTCTATTCTTACAAGTTAACATTGATTTCTCGTTAAAAATGCAATCATAACACGTTTATTATACATGGTTAGACTTCACGAAGTGTGTTTACGGGGCGCAGGTCCCCGTTCACTTTGAACAGGGTGACGTCATCGGTTGCAGTCCGTATTTATTTAGTATGTATCACTGCGAATTTGTATCTTCAAGATTTTCGTACAGGTTTTGGAGATCAGGCTGAAAAATTACACCTCTGCGTTAATTTAGATGAAAAATAAGTGAGGCGTTGATACATTACATTACATTACATTACATGTCATTTAGCTGACGCTTTTATCCAAAGCGACGTACAATAAGTGCATTCAACCATAGGGTACAAATGAGGGAGTCAGAGTATCAGTTTTTCATTTATTTATTGTCAAAGCTCTCAATTAATACTAATTTGTAATACACGTATAAAACTAATAGTTAGGACTAGTTATTGCTTAAGCGTGCGTGGGAGAGTGGATCGTGGAAAAGGAAGAGCCAAAGCTTACATAACTGAAGAGAAGATCGACCGGAATAAGAATGGATTACAAATCAATGCTGCAAAGAGCGTTTGAAACATCTGCTGTGGATTTTTCCTTCTGAAGCCACGTTAACAGTGTTATAACCAGCAGTCATTTTCACTCTCACTTTACGAAACAAAGAGTTTCTCCTCAGTAGTAACGTGAAAATACGATGTGTTGGAGGAGGCAGATTTCGTTGGAGTGCGACAGTCAAGGTCAGAGGTCGCAGCTCTTGTTCGCCTGTGTGCGGCCTTGTATAGATGACGGACGGGCTGCTTCATGCCTCATGTTATTGTTCAATCACGGATGATTAAAGGACTCCGTGACCTGCTCGGGACCCTCTCTGCGTGCGAGCGTCCCGCTGTCCCGTCCTCTGCTGGAGGTAAGAACTTTCTTTCGTCAGGCCCACAACACCGAGCCTGACGATGGTGTAACACGTCGTTAGCTAGCAAGTCTCCTTCCATGAACGGTAATTAAAAGCTTCCAGCGTTGAAGAGACCGCATCAAGCAGCAGCTCTGGCTGCAAACAAAGCGGACATCGGATCACCAGGCTGCCTGCACGGTGACTCTCGAGCGCGGCGAATGATTGGGAGTCAGAGGAATTCCTTCGTCATAATTTGACAGGTGTTTTATGAGCGTATTTTCTTTCAGCACGCGCGTCATGAATGATAATCGCCTCTTCGAGGTAAATTGGTCATGCAGTCGGTCGGATTCTTTTAGAGTGTTACCTGGCATATTTGCGGTTCTTCGGGTTGAAAGTGTGTATTATTAGTTAACAAAAACGTGCCACAATGATTTCTGTCAGCGTGTTGTGGTCGCAGCTGCTTTTCGCTTCCTTTACAGCCGGTGCAGGTTGGTGCATGTAAGCGTGGCCCCCAACGCGCTCGTTGCAGCGCATTAAGCTGATGGAAGCGTGGCGCCCACCTACCGGCTTGCCCTCGTGTCTGCACCGTTCAGACATTAACAGACATTCTGATGCAATGACACAACAATCCCAGATAAGATGAAGCTCGTTGGCTGCGTTTCCGACACCCCTGAAATCGCGGCGTTCATCAGACCCGGTTTTATGCTCGATATCATCCCTCCATCATTAAGGTGCTCATTTATGTTTTAAGACTGTTTTAAGCACATTGTTCCACTCACAAACATTTGGGACTTTATTAAACTTTCTCGATCTGTTTTAAGACTTTTTTTCTAAATATTTTTCAACCTAATTTTTCAACGATATTTTTTAACGTTGTTTGACTTCCTTCAACTTTTTTACCTTAACATTTTTAGACTTCAAAACTTTTTTTGACCTAACTCTTTTTTTCTAAACATTTCTTGTTGAATATTGACTTGTTCTTTCTTTCTTTTTCTTTTTCTTTTTTTTTTTTGACATATTTTGACTTTTTTTTACCTGTTACTTTACATCTCTCCTTATTTAATACAAGGTTAATGCTAATGTTAAGGTTAATCGTAATCGTTCTGCATTGCTCCTTTTCAAATAAAGACGTTGCCAACATGTATAGAATACAGTCATTTACCAGCTCAGATATTTCTTTTATTCTGCACACGTTACTTTACTGTCATTTTTCACTCGTCACTTTTGTCACTTGTTCGCTAGTGCACTTTATTTTTTAATTTCTTTAAATATTTTTAAACTTTTAAAATATTTTTAATTTTTAACTTTAACTTTATTCTCTTATTTTAAACTAACCCATAGCTTTATTCTACTAAACCATTGCATTAGTATTTCATTTTATTTCATTACTTGTGCACTGCTGTCTTGTTGTCTATTGTTACATTGTCTACTGTTACGCAACAACCGCCAAGTCAAATTCCTTGTATGTATGACATATTTTCGTAATAAATGTTTCCTGATTCCTGAGGGTAAAGTTACTCTTTAGAAATAAAACTTCTCCTCTTGGCCGTATGTGCCCCACACAGCCGGTGAAGCAGCCGGAGGCATTAAGGTGAAACAGCAGCCCATCATAAAAAGTCGAAACACTGAATTACCACAGTTCTCCTCGTCTGCTTGATTGCCGCAGTCATCGATGCCATTGCAGTGCAGGACTTGAGGGAGGCACATGGTCAGGTTCCCACACGGGAAATATCCAAGAGGGCACGCCGCCGTGTCCTCAGTGACATTTAGTCCTATAAACAAAGCAGAAAATGCAAGAGTGAGATTACGGAGGTGGCATTTCTGACGCTGGTCTGCCCTGAATCAAGAGATATCAATCATAGTTACTGTGAGGAAGTTTTTATTGGTTGTAGAACTTTGTCAGTTGAATACCGGTGCCCTTGTGTGACCGAGTAAACAAGGCTGTCTGAATGTTTTACCCTGCATCGGTGCCACGTGGTCAGATTACACACAAAGTAGGTCGAACCACAGCGGAGGTCCGGCAACAACCGGCCCACCGCTGACCGACCCACATCCGGCTCCCCAGACGTTTGAGTCTGGTGGTAGGAAGCGCTACGGGAGTAGCTTTAGCGGGATGACTTTCTGCGTCTCATGAAGGAAGCTTAAGTATCCATTTGTCTGATCAAAGAACAGAAGCTCAGATGAAGACACACAGAGGGAGAGCGGCTTCCCGCCCCGCTCAGGTAGGCATGGCTCTATAATGTGTTTGCACACGCAGTAGTTTGCCGCTAATGTTCAGATGATAAATCTTCTTTAATCAACAGTTGTGTGTGGCGACTTGCAGCCGTTAAGTTAAGCAGCAGCAGCAGCATCAAACAAACAATACAAACGGATAAAATGTGGTGAATGGAAATGTGCATCTGGCTCAACAAGCCTCTAAAGTGAGAAATATCTGTCTGGAACGAATAAAGAAGGAAATGTCATTTATTATTCACCTCATTATCAACGAAGCACTCAACAGCTTGATCCACACTAAAACACTGATTGATGATGTCATTATGTCTCACCTCACAAAGGTCTTAAGCCATCCCTACTTGTTAAAAATATACTGCACATTTTTAATCATATTTTTCTGAATTTTCTCTGGGAACATGTCTGGATTATTTTTCTGGGTAATAGACCAGACATCACAGAGGAGTTTGCTGGTTGAATAACTTCTCTGGCAAGATAGAAGCTCTTTGGAGGATAAATCCTCCTGCTGGGTCCAGAGAGACCGTTTATCTATGAACTAAGATCCGATGGCTTTGACCTTAGTTCAGGGTCACGTTGAATGAGAAAATACATTTTATAATCTGTTTACTGCCTGTCTTAAAGTTGTCATAAAAAAAGCCGTTGGCGAGTCGGTTTTTAAGTTATTTGATGTAAAGTGCTTTAGATGGGATGAGGGAGTTTATGTTGTTTGGGGGTTTCTTTTGTATAATACTGCGACTGAGGGTTTCATGGCCACGTTGCACAGCCTCAGCTAAAGGTGACAAAGGAGACAAAAAGCTATAACAGTGGAAATGAAAAAAGATATCTTGGATCACTGTGCAGCAGTTTGCATTTAACCTTCCTTTTCAGGATGATAAAGAGAATATATCCCAATAAAAAAAACGTACAGCAGGTGCATCTGGGATTAGAGAATATAAAAGTGGAACGCATTCCTATCACGCTCTACGCTGTCTAAATGTCTTTAGTGATATAGTGCTCTCCCACTCTGCGCTCCATGCTCTCCATGCTCAAGTACACCTTTTCAGGACCGCAGCTCAAAATTGCAATATTCTTCTGACTGCATGCAAGGTCAAGACGGACATATTGAGTCCACCTGAGACAGCACTGGTGTCATTTACATTTTAAAGAAAGCCCTGAAATCCAACGGTTTGCTCTGTTTAGGGGTGTTTGACTGTCTCTGAGGACTGGTGGACACCTGATCAAGTGCTTGGCATCTTCGGTTAAAAGCGAGGATGGAAGAAGACATTGTTTTTGTGGGGAAACTTTCTTGGCCTTCGTTTCACTGAATCAATATTCTGTGTCTTGCTTGGGAAATGAAATAAGAAACGATATCCGTGGTTCTTGCGTGTTGACAGTGTATGTGGCGTGCATCAATACTGACATTTTATTTTGTTGGTTATTCTTGGTGACGTCTGTCGTGTGCATCACTGTCCCGTACATGACAACAATCCCTCAGCTGCTGTTCATGAGCTTTTCCACACTCAACGGAGGGAAACAATGATTTGCTAGAGTGGCCTCTCAGATAACTCGGTCTCATCGACTGCCTCTGCTGCAGATTCAAGAAACCGAGTCAGACAAACAGAAGCTGATAAGGAAGAACCAGAACCAGCTGTGCCAGGTGCATCGCCAAAATACCGCGGGCTCCACGGCCCCTTAAGGCAGGCCGGCTGTGAGTCGATCCCAGCCGCAGCCGGAGCGCTGCCTGTCGTCTGTTGACTGACACAATGTAAACGGTAGAATCTTAATTGGTTGCTAGGAAAGACATTTTTCCCAAAGGGGGCACAGGGGATGGCCCATTATGATTTATTCATTGCTTTTTTTTTGCTCCGCAGCTCGAGATAGAAAGCAAGCCGTCATGCAGCGGATTCCTGTCTCGACCGCCCCCCCGGAGCCTCACGGTACCATGAGTGCATCAGCCGCTTGGACCTCAATTGACAAAGGCGAACTGGTCCACAGTCACACGCCAGAAGGCGATCGTCACATAGGGTCAGAGTACATGTCATCTTCAAATCCCCCCCCCCAAAAAAGAAGAAATCTCACTTAATTGGGACCCTGGATATCATTGGATATCTTGCTATGGATTTTCAGATTGTCAAAGATTGATTTATGAGATTGTTTATGAGGCGTCCTGTCAGTCCTACTCAGGTGTGCGGAGACCTTTGATACCTTTGGTTCTCCGGGCTTCACGTGGACCTGTAAGTGTCCTTGACAAAGGATGCGAGCAGGAACACCGGACCGCGACTGATGCAGCTCACATTATGAAATAACAGGGTGATGGATTACTGCTCAGGAAGAAACAGACGAAACCAGATCCACAGCACTCAATGGAAATGGGATAAAAACACAAAAATCGGATTCTGCTCCACATTAACTCCACTTAAATTTAGATTCATTCCGGATTCATTTTTGAGTCGCTCAGAAAACCGCCTGCATGCTTCTTCATCAAACAATTGTTCTGCACGACCGCGCAGATTGCGCACGATTAATAAGCCTCAAAATGAGTCAACCAGAGAAGTTGCGCTACTCACCCGACACCCCGCAAACCAGCGCCACGGCCACGGCCACGTACACGCGCATGGTCCCTCTCGAAGTTCTCATGCAGATCGCCGGGGTCGTTGGTGGAGAAGCAGCAGCGACGTCACCACAGCCAATCGTACAGAATGCCGGAACCCGCGCGTAAAAACAAGGACGATAAAAGTTTGTGGGATAAACGCGCGCAGGTCAGAGGCAGCGGCCGCAGGATGGAGAGACCCGCAGAGCACTGCGGTCACTTCGCAAAGGGCTCAACTCGGTCTGCGCCCGGTCCGACCGCGAGCAAGGTCCAACGAATCAGCGGGCATGGCGTGACGCGCGAGCAGCGGCGACAGCTCAGGTGCAGCGAGCGCACGGAGGGGTGGGGGTGAGAGAAAACGGAGGGGGGAGGAAATGGAGGATTTATAGGAAACAAATTGGCGCTGACGCGCTGCTCTGCTGATTCGTCTTGAATGCTTCTTTTTTTTAAACTGTCAAGCCTGCAGATGTTATGCAAAAGAGTCGTCTCTCCGTATTAGAGGGATTATTAGGGATTGCTTTATGAATGGGTTCGTGTGAAAGACTTCTTCCACTAACACAATGTCCATCTGGACGGACACATACTACACTGTAACAAATCGCTGTAAATTTACGGTGCATTTCTAACGGTATCTTACAGTATGTTATAATAACTGTAACAGTTAAATTTCCATCCCTTGCTTGTAAATTAACGGCCATGCCATGTCGAAATACCGTATATTTCACAGAATGGTTTTTGCAGTGTGTCCGTTGTTTTTATGATCATTTACTGGAAACAAAACTGTCCTCAACTGGGAAGTTTACGGGTGCAAAAAAACATACCGTAATGTCTTATACGGCGTCACTTTATTTTTTACGGTAAACCTCTGGCAACCACAGCTGCCAGTAATTTACCGTATATTTCACGGATTTGTTTTGCAGTGCAGGTGTCACTTTTATCGAAAACGGCCATGGTTTGACATCATTTTATGTGGAGTATTTGGGGGTTAGGTGTCTTGCTCAGGGACACTTCAACTTGACACAGGGAGCAGCCAGGATTCGAACCACCAACCTTACGCTGCACAGTACACCCTCCCCATCCGACGTGCCGCTCCGCCGTCGTTTCAGTGGCCAGAATGTAAAGATTATAAATATTTGTATTATTCAAAGTGTTCATTGCCTAAAAGTCATTTGAGTGTTAATCGTGACCGACTGCTGCTGAACGTGACGTCAGACACGTAATCCCAGTTCATCCAGAACACCTGTGCTGTTCATTTTATTTTACCAATGACAGTGTTTCTAAATATTTTATTTTGGTTTGTTTTACAGAGGCACTGGATTAAGGACGCCAGCCGTTTGCTGCGGTCAATTGAAAGTGTTCCATAGCGTATTGCTGCAGTTAGTTTACCTTGTTCCTAATAATTTTATGATTCATTTTTTTATTATTGTATACATGCGGCATATTTTATGTTTTGTTCTTGGTTACAAATGTCTAACATTTTTGTCTTAAAGACATCTAATAAACTCCAACCACCATCACTGAAATGAGTTTGGTTGTCTTTCTTTAATTTGTGGGGAATTAAATGCAAAAGTTTATAAGCAAACGGTAACATTCTGGCATTTATACCACAAAAACAGTAATCCTATGGTAACAAACTGTAATCCAATATACAGCAACATACCGTATATTACGGTAGGGCACTGTAAATAAAACAGTAAGTTGCTAGCGTCGACTGCCAGTAAATCACAGTTAATTCATAGTAAAATTGGTTCAAGTTTACGGTAAAATACAGTAATCCATCATACGGTAACATATTGTATTCTACGGCAGTGTACCATAAAAAACAGTAAAATAATGGTATCCGCTGCCATGAAATGGATTACAGTAAAATTGGCGTGAACTTTACAGTCAATTAACGGTAAAATACTGGAAACATAGGGCAAAACGGTAATATACCGTAAAATAACGGTACATTCCTGGCGTCCTTGCTGCCCGTAAGTTACCGTTAATTTACGGTGACATTTTTTAGAGTGCAGGCCTGTAAAGGTCACCCAGCAGTGCAACAATGGTTAATAATGATTAGGGTTTAATTAAACATCACACCATCACCAGTGACAGTCGGGGTCCAGTGGCGTGCCGAAGGACACGCTGACATGTAAACTGCAGAGGCCATGGATAAGATTCCTCACACGCTCTACATCTCATTCAAACCATTGGCTTGGTTTAAAGAGGGAGTGTAAACAGTACATGTATTGATGCACTATTACCTTTAATGGACTCAGAGTTCTGTATGAAATCCTTTTTATTTTTCATGGGAAATATACAGACAAATTGTTATTGGCAAGCATTTTTCCAAGGTTGAAAATAACCTGAAAGAAATACATTTATTGCCACTGAGCAGCCTCAGATTGATCAGAACATTAGACCCACACAAGCCCTGTGGATAATTGGCAATCTACCGTAGCTTGCAATATTCTGGCAGTCATTGAATGACACCACCAAAGGCATCTTCAAGCAAGATCTTTAGTTGTGTCTCTCTTCTTGAAAAAGGGGATTGCATCTTTTTTTTGAGGATTTGCTGCTCCAGAATTGAAAAGTTATTTTTGGTAGACGCATGTTAGAGTTGTTACTGTCTCTCTCTGAGATTTGAAGATTATTTTATATTTCCTGATGAATGTCAGTTTAATTTCCCTTGATTCAAGCCTCAACGAGCACCTTCTCATTGCTGAAATGTGTCACCAGAGAAAGCAGCGATAATTAAATATTCTCTCATTGTCAATTGTGGTGGCAATACGACACCTTATTTTGCGGGATATAAACCTGCTACGACCTCAATTATGTTTGATTGGATTATGTTCACAGGCAAGAAATTTAATTTGAATAAATGAAATGTGTTAAAACTGCTATTAACAATAGGCTTTATTTACCATTAAAGGCTCAAATTAATGCAATCAGTTCTTCCCAAAGCTAATGCAAGTTTTGTGCTGAGCGGGCATATTGACTTTGAGTAGTGAAGTTGCTTTTCCAGTTTGTATGTACGCACACACACACACACACACACACACACACACACACACACACACACACACACACACACACACACACAGTGAGACAGGATCAAGTACGGGATCAACACTGCGTGTTGTCAGTATTTCAAATAAATTATACATTGCTTTACAGCTTCCTTAGTTAGAAAAAGTGATCAATAATTCAAAAGACATATAGAATCACAGCAATGTAGAGGAAGATTTTATATTTTGTGAGTGTTGAGTGAGTGTGCCTATCTGTGTCGTCACAAACTTGTGTAATTGTGTGATTAAACGTTGCTATGTTTTCACAGCTTTACAGAGTTCATCTTAATAATGATTTGAATGCGTGCATTCTCTACATTCTAACACATGGATGTGGTTTAATCTGCAGCAGAATATGAATATGGGTTATAAAACAATTGAAATTGATCGGACTCCACATGCACATCCTGTGCACACCTTTGTGTAGAGAATGAAAGTCTAAATGCTGAACAATGGAATTCAGACCTCTGCTGGAATGAACCTTGACAGTGTTCCAGCTGGCTGTCACATCTAATGATTTGATCAATGATAACCTTCTCAGCAAAAAGAAAATTATCACAGGCTGACTTATACATGCTGCAGTTCAGTGAAGGACGTCTATTTTCTATACTAAAGATACCAACAGGGAGGAAGGTTTTAAATCTCTTTTAATCACCTTTTGGGGGGAATATATAGTAGAATGGGTTAACCCTTAATTCTGCCTCAAGCTACAATAGGGACTTTACCCTCAACTTTATCAATAATAACATTAAAAAAAACGTTGAATTATTACTGATCCTTGGTTGCCAAATTGCTCTTTTAATGTAAAGTAACGGTAACATTCCCTTTGAATCATGAGTCTGATTAACCAACTCCTCAGTCATTTCCTTCATACCACGGAAGAACTTAATCAGGACAAGCTTGGATCATCCGGAGATTATTATAGACAGCAGGCAATCAGTCTATTGTTCACAGGTTCTTCAGGTACCCTTTATGTAACACAAGTCTGTCCATGTGTGCGCTGGAATATCCGCAATGGATCAGTGTGATTGTGAAATACCCATGTTATTCATCAAAGTACATTTCCTATCAAACAAATAGACACAATTACTACTGAGCTTTTTGGTTGTGTTATCTTCTCTGGATGGATTTGTCTTGTATCAACGTGTCCTACTTCTATAAAGAGAGGTAATTCCCTTAAGTGACAATCTGTTCCACAACCTGTTTGATCTTGTTTACTTGCTATCTCGAAAAGCCTTCAAAAAAAAAGATCTTCATCCCGTCGTTAACAAACAAGCAAAGGGAGGGACGTTTGTCCCTTAAATCAGGAGACAAAATGTCTCAATTATCTGCCGTTTTATTAGAAAATTGTGCCGCCATCGTCGTGTTTCGACCACTGACACCAGCTGATGTCTTGATTATTATAGAGATGGAACAGCAGAGTAATGGAGGCATTCTATTGCAATTGGGGCAAATGTTTAATGTGTTGAAAAGCTGCGGTTGTCTGAATAATTATTCTAATAATATAATAAGAATAATTCTATTTGGAAAAGCTCTAATCTGCACTAATCTCTCATGTAATGCTGTAGTTTGTGGGGAAACTGAAACTTTAAACAAGCCCCCCCCCCGTTTGACTACATTTGACTACATTTGACTACAATATTTTCTTGAACCAGTCAGCGGGAAAAATGAGAAGGTCGTTATCTGAATAACAGAAAGAATCAGTATGAATTAGTTCTGCGACACAATGCTGCAAAAGGTTCTTTTTATACTGCCAATTCAGTGCTCGAGGTCACCGTTTGTGAGGGAAACAAGAACAGAAAACTGCACTGCACAGAAATATTTGATCCTTTCTGTAGGTTGTACAACTCATTTATTAATAATAAAAACAGAATATGAATGCAAAAAGTACGTTTTTTGTAAGTACCAAATACTATCTTCAGTAAAGCCCTGAATAAAAGGCAATTAGCATTAGAGTTTAGTGTGTTTTATTACATTTATCCAAGCACCAAACTTTAACCATTTAATACGAATTCAGTCAACAGTCAACCGAAATCATGAACAAAACTGTACTCAAACTAAATGAATAGACATCAATATAAACGTAAGAAGAAGCAAACGTACGGATGAGGCCTTTTATGGCCTTTAGAGCACAGGATTGTGTGCAAAGAGGCTCACTCCACGAGTCCATCAGCCCAACGAGCTTCCTGAACATCACTTCCTGCTACCATGCTATATTTACTCTCAATATTCTTAGTTATTCAAAACCGCACCTATGTGCTAACAACATGCAAAAGAAGCAATGCACTGACTC